GGCGCTGGGCCGCAGCGGAGTACGGCCCAGGGTGGTGTCAGGTGCGTGAGACAGCGTATGGTCGTTTGTGGCACTAAGCCCCCAGGTCAGAAGGGTCGATGTCGATTGCGGAAAGGCCAAGGCGCGGATTGTCGTTTGCGACGCGCGCGGGGAAAGCCGAGGGAAGAAAGAGACATTTCCCTCCGCAACGAAACGACATGTGTCGGCTAGGTCTCGGACAACTTCAGTTCCACATGCCAAAGCGTCATTTTATTTTTTGATACCGCAGTGGTAATATATTACACGTTTCGTTATAACGCTGCATTGACGGTACCATTACTGATTTTCTGTACTAAATTAGGTTCGTTAGTTTAGGTTTGCTTCCTCTTATTTAAAAGCAAAGCTCGGAAGCTGCACGCCGGAGCCGTGCGCCTGTCTGCGTCCGTAAACGATAGGTGTGAGTGAGCGGAACCCGCACCACAAGTCGCCCAGCTCGCTGCGGCCCCAGCGCCGTGGAGGTAGGCAACCCGTCGCGCTGCCCGCTAGCGACAATTTCCCTTTTCTCCCGCACAATCCCCTCTTTTCCCTCCGATGCCCGCTAGCGACAATCCTGACCCTTCTACCTGGGGCCCTTGCCCGCTAGCGACATACGCCCCTTAAATTTTCACCCAGAGGGCCGTAAAATTGCGTGTTTAGTCAAGAAAAAAATACGCCAAAAATTGGAGTTTTCAAAACCACCTCTTATGGCAGGCCAGAATAACAGGCAAGGTAGGGTCACGAAAACGTTAAAGGAAAAAACTTAAAAAATGTTTCCAGGAGTTTTCATCCAAAATGGCGCCTGGAAACCACTATTACAACCCAAGAATCGAAAATAAGCGATATACGACTTACCCTACTATTCGCACTGACGGTATCCAAAGTGTACCGAACACTAGTACGTGTCTTTTAGGACCCTGGGTCAGCGGTGTACCATAAACGAACATCGTAGTGACTCCTGAGACTCCCCAAGTGTCCCAGAGATGGCATTTGAAGTATGCTTCCAGTTTTTTAGAACCTCGGGTTGTGTCGCAAGGAACTATATTCAGAGAAACCCATGTTTTTACTTTTAAAAAGTTACGGTTAAAAATAAACTTACTGTTAGTGTCGTTTGCATTGCAGCATAACTATTTTCGATCTTTGCTTGGATTACTCGCAATAGTAGACGGTGCCATTTTGCATTATTTGGATAAACACTACTAATCAAGCTTCTTACGCACCTGGTCGGTTGGAGCAGTGATGCGGAGTGGCCTGACGTTAAGGTATTTAAGAAGAGCATTTAGCATGGCCATAGCGTATCCTTCCGGGATGAGGTACCCTGGAGAGAAGATGTTTGGATCGTACTGGAGATTGACAGCAAGAAAACATCCATCGAGATCTGCGGGCTCTTTGACCGGGAAAACGGTGAACCTGTCCTGCGCCCGCGAAAGAAACGCCATCCACAATAAGTGGCCACAAACAAGCAATTAGTTGAAAAGCTCAGTGAACAAACAAACAAACAAAAAACAAACACACACACAAACAAACAGAATGACACTTTTTCGGTCAGTGGAGTTATGGTGGATACAGAGTTTGTCTGACTTGGGCGTGATTTTCACGCGACCAGCGTGAAAATGGATGTTTTGATTAGCAGCCGACGTAACGTAGTAACCAATGGCAGCCACTTCACTTGGAGTACGTCATGCATGCGAATTGAACCAGCTCTTCAGCTATCGTGATTTTCACGACTCCAGCGCAATTTTCCATGCCTCTGGCGTTATTTTTAAGCAGTCGTCTGCTGCAGCGAGAGTCTACACGCCCGCGCACAGGAGAGGGACCCCAGCTAACCTCTCGGGTGACGGACGAACCAGCGCGACATTTCACGCAGACGCCTGCGCGAAAATCGCGCAGAGGCGTGAAAATCAGGCTGGGTACGTTCTACCCGGGTCGAGTGAGAGGGCTCGACGCCCGCCGAGCGGGAAAACATAAGATACTTTAAATTTTTACGCTACAGTAAAGGGGACACAGTAAGAAATCCTGTGCTAAATCATTGCTAAGACCACAGAACTGGAACCACACCTAAAACACAGTGCTGACTGTGGTGGGCTACACCACAGGGTTTTTCTGTTGACCGCCTCAGTCTGTGACTCGTCTATGGTTCGAGACGTCTCTGTTCGTTCTTAGCTCTCGCTGACGACCCGCCGCGCTCCAGGAACCACATGCTGGAGGATTAAGCCAACGTGTATCTTCGTGCACCCGCGCGGAGATTGAAGATTTTTGAGGGGAGGTTAAGAGTTTGGTCCTCCGAAGGGCCAGTAGTGTCCAAAGGCCTTGCAGCGAACGAGCCTTCGGGCTCAAGGTCCTCCATGCCCCTTAGAGCAGAAGACCTTCTCCAGCGAAACATATGAGCTTGAACTTGAACTATTTGAACCGTGCCAGCGCCACTACTGCCTTTTATTACTAATTTTTCATCACACTATTTTACTGTGATTGTGAAAGCACAGAACTTTCGTGTGGTAGTTCTGTGGTTTATCACAGGATTGAGCACTGACATACTGTGGTAGCTCCGTGCTTCACACAGGATTGAGAACAGACAGGCTGTGTAATTAATTGACGCAATTTTTTCTGTGAAAATCCTGTGCTTTTGTCTGACAGTGGAGACCCCCCCGCCCTTCTTTTCTCCTGTGAGTGCAAGTGTTCGTACTTCATGGTCGTGCTCTCTATGCCGGCTCCCTGCCCTGGCCGTTTCTTTCCTGTTTCGCACGCACCCGGTGTAGCGCGGCGGCGTGGCAGACTGATGCGCTAGCTGGAGCTGCCTAGAGCGCTACCAGCCATCACCTACGTCACGAAGTGTGGCTGGGAAGCTGTCGCCAGCCGACAGGCATCTGTCCTTGACTTTCATCGATTGTGTTTGACTTCTCGTGGGGGAAATCGCCAATGGGGAAATCGCGGCAGAAAGATGCAACCAGTAGGTCCAGACCGACGAAGAAGGCCAAGGTAAAAGTGAATGCGCCGTTTCTAATTGCTGCGCCCGACCCCTCCGTTCAGGATATTACTAGCTATATGTACGCCAGACCACGACTCGCGTAACAGGCTTCGCGATATCTCACGAAACACTGTTACGCTGCGACGCGCCTGGCGAACATACAGCTAGGCCTGCGGCGCTGACACCCAAGACGGGGTAATAGGAGTGGATATACAATTTTTCGAAATGAAGTCTTTTTAACGATTTAATCGACCAATTGATCATTTTCACCTCATTCTTGCCAAAAAATGCCCCCTAGCACCTAAACGGTACAAGATAGAGCCAAACGGACGAAATTTTCGTGAGTGGGCTCTACTTTGACGAGTTACCCCTAAGGAACCCATAAAAAAATATTTGAAAAAAATACATTTTGCGACCAGTGGTTTTTGATTTTTTAAAAAGTCAATTTTTGAGCTAGAATGCTCATCTTCGAACTCGATCTGTCTTTTTATGATACAAAACGACCCTAAAATTCCTAGATCGCTATCTCAATTCATTCTTTAGTTATCGTGCGGACAGACAGACACAAACAAACAAACACACAAACAAACAAACAAACAGAAGGAAACTTTTCGGGTCAGTGGAGTTATGGGCTTCGCTAATCGCTCAGCCAAAAAGGCAGAGCCGGGAGGGTCGGGCGGTGTAGCTAACTAAAACGTGACAACTGCGCGAGTGCCAGTGGGCACCGTTGGACCACACAGGACTGTTTATTGGTCCACGTTAGAATGCATTTGACAAGTGATTGGGACGAGCGAGAATGGGGAAAGAGACGAAGACTCAGAAGCCGCTCTGGACACAGAAGGAGATGAAACGGATGGTGAAACTTCCAAGGACGAGGACACATTGCGATCATCTCATTGGCTTAGCGATTAGCGAAGCCCATTACTCCACTGACCGGAAAAGTTACATTCTGTTTGTCTGTTTGTTTGTCTGTCTGTCTGTCCGCACGAAAACTCGAGAATAAATTGAGATAGCGATCTGGGAATTTCAGGGTCGTTTTGTATCATAAAAAGACAGATCGAGTTTGAAGATGAGCATTCTAGCTTAAAAATTGACTTTAAAAAAAATCAAATACCAAAGGTTGCAAAATATTTATTTTGTTCAAGTATTTTTATATCGGCATCTAAGGGGTAACTCGTGAAAGTAGAACCCTCAGGACGAAAATTTCGCCCGTTTTGCTCTACCTTATACCGTTTTTGCGCTATGGGTCATTTTTTTTCAAAAACAACGTTAAAAAGACAAAATGGTCTACTAAATCGTAACAAAGGCTTCATGTCACAGAATTGTAAAGGGAGTAATACTTAAACCACATATTAAGGGTCGAACCACACCCCCTTTTGGGCTTAAGGGTCCCTAGGTCACTGGTAATTGTGTCAACGAACGTATGTCCAAAAAAATCGAGTCGATTGAATTTCGGTCTATTTTCAGAATGCATAGTTTTCGTGTCAAAATACCTTTAAATTAAAAAGTTGAAATAATTTGGACATGCGTATGCGTTCATTGACACGATTACCAGTGAGTTTATCTAGTACCACTAAAACGTTGATTTTTACATCAATCTGTCGAAATTCGAACTTTTAATAAAAACCGTTACCGAACAGCAGAAGTTTCATTTTCCTAATTTTAGAGTAATAAGACCCCTACAGATGGTTTCAGTATGTCAAATTTTGGGCCCGGAAGGCCCTGTTCCCCTAAACCCTCCCATTTGCTCGGCTCGGGTGTCAGCGCCGCCTGTTACGCGAGACGTGGTCTGGCGTACATATAGCTAGTATCATGTGGGAGCACGAAAAAATCAACAAGGAAAAGATACGCATTCTTCACTCGCTCGCATACTTAAGAGCAGCTGTAATCGAGCATGCACGAAAAGATCTCATTTGATTTCAGAAAGAAATATGTTTAAATATACAACGAAGATACTTTGACCTCAAGAAATTTCAACTGAACATAATGAACGTGTTAAAGGACCAAATTGCTGCTATGGCCGACGAAGCAGTATTCTGGAGGGAAAAGAAATTGCTTTTAAATGAAAATATCGATGATCCATTTATCCCAGTCGTGCTTAACTGTCTTGCTGATTCGTATTCATTATGTACATAAAATGACGTAAACTGATATTTAAATAAAGAAATAAACAACATTTTTCAAAGAGCTTTTTTGTTCGTTTTATTCAGCCCGATGTCATTCCCCTTCACACGCTCTTTGTTTACCCCATCACCTGGCCTCGGTCCGGCTGTCCACTTCCCTTGTTTCGTCGCCTCCCCGAGGGCTTGGTGAACCTATTTGACTTACACACGTCCTCTGTTTCTGTCGCCAGCAACAGCCCCACAAGGCGTACGTCCCCGATATTTTTTTTGGTGGGGTGGGGTAGGGGGGGGGGCGTACATATGGGAGTGTGAACCTTACCTGTTTGCGATCGACCAATGGTGCTAACCCATCCCTAAACTATCAAGGATCGATTGAAGGGCATAAGTCAAGGGTAGCAACATAACCCAACCTAAAGAGGGTTGATCTTCGCTCTCGTGGCTGTCACGACGCGTATACACACAGTGGGTGTATGACAGAGATGTCAGGATGGCCGAGTGGTCGAAAACGGTAGACTTAAAGTCTGCTCCCCCCGGGGGTCGTGGGTTCGAATCACACTCCTGACATTTTATTAATTTTTCTCTTAGCAGGATTTCTGGGTGCGCATGGAAATGCTAAGCAACGCTTTGTAGTACTGCGAAGTATTAAGATCTTTTGTACTAACGATTGCTATGCAGGAATTTAACAGTGTATCCCACCCCCCTCTATCTCTCCCTCTCTCCCTCTCTCTCCCTCCCTTTCTCTTTCTCCCTATTTCTACCTCTCTCTTTTTTAGCCCGCCCTTCTGCTTTAAAATAACAAGGTAGATGTACGCCAGACCGCGTCTCGCGTAACAGGCTTCGCGATATCTCACGAAACACTGTTACGCTGCGACGCGCCTGGCATACATCTACCTTGGCCTGCGGCGCTGACACCC